CACAGTTGTGAAAGAGGGTAAGCGATATGAGAAAGATTGATAAATATGTATTAAACAGTGTTGGTGATGGAGCAGTTACTAGCTAAGTCATGGGCTTAGTGGGTGACTTCCAGAAAGAGGAAAGTGTATGGTGGGATTTTCTTTTTCTGTCGATGAAAGGTCCAAAAGACTGAGAGGTGTGTGGCAACTTAAAAGGGAAGCATCTCGATAGACAGAAGTGAAAGTTTAATGTGATTGGCAGGCCTAGAAGCTAGGAAGCAGTTACAGCAGTTACACAACAGCAGTTGTAGATTAAGGACATCAGGGGGCATGTGAAAGAAGAAGTATAAAGGCCAGGAATTTGCAGAGAGAGAGGGATCATCAACAACACAAAGAACTAGTCTAGACTTAGCATAATCTAGGAGTAGCTTTCTTAGTTTAAGAGTAGTTTCCATCTGTAATTTGTAATCTTTGTTAATATTGGTGGTTTCATTTCGAAATCATCTTTAGTTTGCTTTGTTTACTTTGCTTGATCTTGCTGATTGTAACTTTTGTTCCAAAGAAGTCCTTGTACTTTCAAGGCATTTGAATCAAAGACACAGTCGCTTGATTAGTTTGTTCAATTGTTTGTTTAAATTGTTGTTCAAATCCTGTTGATTAGGAATGAGCATATTTTTTACTAACAAAACTCCAAGCCCATTCTCTACTCTTTCCACCATTGTCACCACTACTACTACCAGCTGTCATTCCCAGTCTCGTCCTCCTCCACCCAACATGTCCATCTTTCCAAACACTAGCCAACCTAGGCATTCCAACTGCCCAACTCCTCAATTTTTTCTCGTAACCCCACATTATCTACCCTCGCTATTGCAAACTGTGCTTGTACAAATGAAAATTGCGGTCCGTTCAAGTGAAAAATAGGCATGGATATAAGTGTAAATGTGCTTGATGCAAGTGCAAACTATGTGGGTTATCAGAATTGTCACTTGAACATGTGCATGTTTTGCAATTGCATGGAGTGTGTTTTTTAGCACGATTAGGGGCTTTGAGAGTGAAGGGATGGACAATTATGGTGATTGTGGTGGCTAGGGTATGAGAGGAGGAATTGTTGGTTGGTGATGGAATGAAAGTGGTTGGGAGTAATGAGGGAGTCATAGGGGTTAGTAGGAAATGGTAGTGGTTCAACTGGTAGGGAAGGGACTTGAGGTAGCGGGGAATAGTAGAAGAGGGGATAAGGGTAACAAGGGAGGGCCTTGCAGAGGTGGCCAATGATGGGTTACCTCTTAGTTTTAAAATTGGATTAGATCGGCCAGTTCGATCGGTTGAATGGTCGATCAGTTGGGGTTCCAATTCAGATATTGTAACGCCCCAATCCTTCACATGTCATCGATATTGTCTGCTTTGGGCCACGCCTGCACGGATTTATTCTTCCTAGTAGGTCACCCATCCTAGAACTACTTCAGCCTTAGCATGCTTAACTAGGGAGTTATGCCAAGGATTTTATCACCCGGGAAAAAACCTCGATGCTATATAAGGGTTTAGGTATTTACTTTTATAGCTTAGGAACTCCCCACCATTCCCGGTATGGGACACCGAGACCTTACAATCCACCTCTCTTAAGGCTGCAAGTCCCAGTGCAATAGCCTGCCAGCTCACAAGCCCATCCACATGCACCAAGAGACGCTAGGGGCCCACACTTGGTACTCTGGAGAGTCGGCTCTGATACCAATTATAATGTCTCAACCCTTCACATGTCATCGATATTGTCCGCTTTGGGCCATGCCCGCAAGGAATTGTTCTTCCCAGTGGGTCACCCATCTCAGAATTACTCCAGCCTAAGTACGCTTAACTAGGGAGTTCTGCTAGAGATTTTACTACTTGGGAAAAGGCCTCGATGCTATACAAAGATCTAGGTTTTTACTTTTATAGCCCAAGAACTCCCCTCTATTCCCGATGCGGGATACCGGGACCTTACAAATATACCTTTTGAACTGTTTGTAGTCGAAAACCGGCATATATAGAGAGAGCCAATAAAATTAGCAATTGAATTGCCAAATCGGACGACCTGGTCATGGTTTAGGTGAGCCAGCTGAGTTGCTAAAAATGAAAATTTTGGATTTTTTTTTAATATTTTCAAGCTCTTTTTTATTTTATTTTTTATTCTTTCTTTCTTTCTTATTTTATATATATATATATATATATATATATGAAAATTTGGTGCTTATATTGATCACAAGATGTCGTTGAAAACTCTCTTTCAAGGGTCTCCTCTTGTGAAGAATCTCATTGAGAGCTCACAATTATTGTGAAAGTCCCTACTTATTTATAAGAAAAATATTATTCTAAAAAAACTCAAGAAATCCATGTAAGATTCAATTTTAACCAAATTTATTGAAAAGTGACTTGAAATTTTGATTTTCCTCCAAAACTTTTTTCTTCTTTCAATCAAATTATTTGAATTAAAATCATATAGAGGGAAATATTGAATACAGTCCCGATTGGGAGCTCGAATTTGAGCCCCCCGATTCCCCCGAATTTCAATTTTTCTTTTTTTTTTTTCCAGAAGAAGAAAATCAGAGGAAGAAGGAGGAGAAGAAGAAGAAGAAGAAGAAGAACTGGAGGGGAGGGGGCCAACAAAATTGGGTTGGAGGCGGAGGCGGGGCTGGGACTGCGACGAGTTGCGGCCGCAACGATCGGAGCTACTGCAACGATCGGAGCTGGGCTGCGACGACGACCGGGCTGGGCGACGATCGGCGATCGGTGAACCTCTCTTCTCTTTCTCTCTCTTTCTCTCTTCCCCTCTTCTTCTCTCTTTCTCTCCCTCTTCCTCTCTGCGACGAAAATGGAAAATGGAAAAACAACTGGAAAATGGAAAAATAAAAAAATAAAAAAATGCCCAAAACGACGTCGTTTTGGGCATTCGGGAGATTCGGGGGGAAAAGTTTCGAGCTACAAAACATTAACCTATTGAATATTTAGTAAATTGTGTAGTTGAGTTCACGACTGGCCTCAGTCATTTAAAGTGTCAGACAAACGAGGGTAGCTTGTTGTCCTTCACGTGGAAATCTGACAAGAGTCGTTAGAGAGTCAAATTACAATATGGTTTGTAACCAAAAAAAATTACAATATGGTCCAAAAGTACTTGCAAAATTACAAATTTGTACCGCAATAAAAAAAATTAAAAAAAAAAAATCAACACCACAAAAAATAAAAGGATGAATTACACTTTATCTCCCTATGATTTCATGCAGTTAGACATTATTTTTTTGAGATTTATAATTATACTCATAAACTTCTTGTAATTTGGAGCGATGTGCAAAAATCACAAGATCTGATAAACTAAACAACGCATGTGGCAAACGTACCAGAAAAGCGTGTCTACACTAGAATTTAGTGTTTTGGCGCCAAATTCCGGGTTCAAGGTGACCAATTTGCCCCTCCAATCCCTTATGGGTTCATTTGGGAAGTGAGTTGGTTTTTTAGCTTTATGACTTTTTAACTATTTTAACCTAAGTTAAAAAATCTCGTTTGGGAATGGCTTTTTGACCTTTTTAACTGTTTATGAGAAAGAATGTAATGATCATAGGTTAGATGTGATGTTTTGTCTTATTGAATTAAAAAACTTATTTTGTCTTTTTGTAATTGAAATAGCCCCAAACCCAACCCAACTCTTCTTCCCAAACGAAGCCTATATAACTGTTGGCTTATTTTTCCTATGAAGGAAAATACCATAAATGCGAGCGTGCCAACAATGATTGAAAAATCCTTACAGATTAAATTCAAACCAATTATCAAGCGATTGCGTTAACGGTTCTTTTGCCTCAACAAAGAGGACTTCAAAATTGACAAGTGTAGAGAAAAGAAAAATTAAAAGAAGAAAGAGGGAGACGAAAAAAGACGATTGAGTGAACAATCAAAGTAATAATTACTTACCTCTACTCCTATGCTTCGAAAAGGAAGTGCATAAAATGCTTTGAAAAGGAATGCTGAAAATAAGTGCTTCGAAATATAAATCTATGTTAAACTACTCCTAAGATAAGGAAAATGATAAGAAATATTAAAATCAATTGTCTTTGATTGTGAATTCTCCATCTTTTACAATATAGCCATGAATGGCTATTTATAGGTAAATATTTGTAGAAAAAAATATCTAGCAATAACTATCCAATAACCACTTAAAACTACCCACTATTCCATCTTCATTCCCACAATGCCAAACATCCCTTAATGTCTTCATAACTTTCTTTAACCTCCAATTCATGCTCTATGTTCTTCATTTTATTCTCCATCATCTTTTCACATTTCATAACTTATCATAACCTCCAAGTGAGTAGGAGGATGCCACATGTCCTGCAATTATATAAATAATAAATAATAATAAAAATTACAGATTTATGGTGCCAACATTACCCCCTGCGGCCCTTCAAAATGATATTTACTTGAATTTTTGAAAGGCCGAACCAAGCACGTGACTAATCTAAGCAATAAAGTGCTTCGAATAATATCAACAAAGTGCTTCAAATGATATAACAGCACCAATAAAGTGCCTCGAATGAGCATGAAATTATGACTAGATGTTGTGAATTATATATATACGCATTGAAATGATATTATTGTTGAAAAGCTTCGAAGGATAACCACATATTTTCAAGGTAAAGCCAATGATTCACCTTAGTATATTGTTACACATGCTAAATAACCAGCTTCGAAGGTGGTGTAAAGGACCCAAATCATCATTCGAAGGTCAAAAGTGCCGACAAAGGATTTTCTGAATTAGGATTTTCAATTTCACAGAGAAATTTATCTTGTTTCACAGAGAAATTTCATTCGATTCAGAAAAATTTGCTCGACTTAGGGGTTACCTATAGTTAAAATTTGAAATATCTGAACATTTTTTGTGAAAAAATGTTCATCATATTCAAATGCTTGCAACAAAATTTATTTTCATTTTCCTTTCTTTTCTTTCACTTTCTACCATTTAAAAAAAAAAAAAAACAATATTTTATCGTGTGTATCATGCCTTTTTTTTGTCTACAATATCGTGTTTCACGGCACTAGATCATTTATACCTAAAATTCTTGGTATCATGTACCCAATGTACTCTTGATCTCATAATGCCGTGAAATTCTTGAATTTTAAGATTTTCTCCATACATATGTGCTTCCCATGCCATCCATATATATGTTTGAGAAGCTCTTACCATTTAATAACATATGGAGCCAAAAATGGCAAAATATGAAGTAACTAGTAGTCTATCTGTTATGATCTTCTTTTTCATGAAATGGTGTTTAGGTCACAAGATTTGGTTGTGGAGGCTACTCTTTGGGTATAGGCACAAGCCACTCTTTGTTTGATGGGCCAGCAGCATATGATTTCTTACGTGAATGGGCCTCTCAATCTAATATGAAAATGAAAGCAAACCAAGCTCTTGAATTGCATAAACCAGTGCATGAAAGAGGGAGATTGTTAATGGCTAGTAATCATCAAGCCCCAATAGAAGAAACTAAAAAATCGAATCCAACAATAAGGGTTGCCGCCATAGATCATCTATATCAGTTGATAAAAGAGGCGGCTCGTGATCATGGTCAGAGTGATCATGAAAATTATGTTCTTACAACTTTTCATCTAAGTGGTGCAATGATACAAAATTTGAAGCAGCATGTCTTTGGTGACAAGAGAGGAAGGTTTTCTTCCTTTGAGGTTGTTGCAGCTCATCTTTGGAAGGTATAATTTCTCTACTGTTTTAACTTTCTCTCTTGTTCGTTTATTTTTCTCACACAATAACCGAGTTCAGTTTGAAACCTATTTCATGTGGTATGGTAGATCTCTAACTTTTAGGCCATGTTTGTTTGGGTGAACATGAGTTTGGGATTGGACTAATAGTCTAATAAAATTATTAATCCGATGTTTGGTTAAACAATTAAAGTACGGACTAATTATTTTAAACTTGTCTATTAGTTAAGATAGGATACATAATCCAACGGATTCGTAGTCTTAGAACTATTAGTCATGAGAATGCTAATCCAGTCCGCCCAAAAAAACATGGCCTTAACGTATAATACTTATCACACACAGACACACATACACACTTAGGTTTTAGGATTTTAAATGACATTATGGGTGTAATCATATTGAGAGTATCAATTAATATATTGAGAATCGAGTGATACAATGGTGAATATTTTAAAATAATAAAATAAATAATTTTATAAAAAACAAATTGATCGTGTCAATTGTAAATCACCCAAGGATCCTCTAGAGTAAAATTTCCCTAAAGTTTTCTAGAGATGTGATTTGTCAGTAAATCTCAACCACACAATATAACACTTTAGAAAATTTTAGGGAAAAATCACTCTAAAAAATCCTTGCTAATTGTAAATAGTCTATATTGGTTGTGAATTGAGTCATAAATCGACTACAAACAATACGTATCAAAAGCTGGCCAATACATATCAATTTTCATTGTCAGCAATTTGTGTTACATTAGGATTGAAAGGTTAAAAACTAACCATTTTGTTTGGTTGGTTTTGGAGTTCTTAAAATAATTTTTAAATTCTCAATTTGTACTTTAGTTTCTTGTTGAATTTTGTTAATATTTTAATTTTAAAAAAATACTTTTTAAATTTACTTAAACTAGATACACTTTAAAAGTACAAAATTTGTGGGGAAAAAAAAAAACTCTTAAAAATTTCACTAAATATAAATACAAAAATACAAAAAAATTAATATATTTTTGTATTTATTGAATTATTTTTAAATTTTTTTCATTAATAGTTTACTTTAAAAATATATTTAAATTAAGTGCATCTAAAAAATTGGTTAAAATATTATTAAAAAAAAAGTTCACAAAAAACAAAAATTTCAAAAACTATTTTTGAAATCTCAACATCAAACAGATAATAATATTAATTTTTCCCTTTAATTTTTTTTATGCTATGTCAATTTAATCTAATTAATAATGTCTGTTAAAAATTTGAACAAAAACAAAAAACTAAATGATCTATTAAAAAGGTTATGAACCATATTTGGGCATTAACCCGTCAAGGGAGCTTCCATTTGCACACTATCTCTTTTCTCAGTTTACATCATTTTTTCGTTCAAATTCAACAATGGAACAAAAATTAATTGTTCAAATATTAATTACTGAACATAAATTAATTGTTTGAATATCAATACCGAATTGAGTTTTCGTTTGGTAGTTAATATCTAAATCATAAATTTTTATTCAATAGTTGATATCCAAACGCAAAAGTGGTGCGAACTAAGAAGTTTTGCGGTGTGTAAATAAAAGCTCACACCGCTCAATCACCTTAAGGAGAGAAATTGGACTATTTTGTCCTTTGATTTCAATCTAATTTTTAAAGAGTATTATTAATTAGACTATCTAGACAAAATGTAAAAAATTTAATAAGCCCCGCTTTTGAAGAAATGTTTTGGTTAAAATAGCCAAAACGCTATATAGAAGTTTTTTTTTTAATTTTTTTTTTAAAGGTTAAATGTAAATACACCTCCTGAGATTTGCTTAAAATACGATTTGCTTCTTATGGTTCTAGAAATTACATTGCCTTCAAGTTTTTAATTTTATAATAAATGACTACTTTTATTAATAAATCATTAAGTTGATTAATAATTTTAATGATATCAGAAATTTATTTCAATTAATAATTCAAGTTATTTTGACATTGTATATATAGAAGAGTAATTAAGAATTTCATTTTTCAGCTAATTTTGTTAAATAAAAAATCCTGATCATTGAGAATTTGTAATTTTTCAAATCACAGAGGGTAATCTGTATTTTAAGTAAATTTCAAAGGGAGTATTTGTATTTGTAATTTATCCAAAAAAGAAGTCAAAATGTCACATCTAACACATCAATTAATTACTTTTTCTCTCACAACCATCTATTCAACTAAAAAAATATTTCAAACACACTAACTTTTTTTTATCTTATAAAAAAGTCAAAAAATTATTAAAAAAAACTAAGTTACCAAACGGGCTCTAAGTTCGGGGCATTATGAACACCTGCATTCAATCCAATCAGTTGGTTGTGTGTAAATTAGGATGGTAAACCAGCCTAGTCCAACTTTTGCAAAGGCTAGAACTTTGCTCAATACTAATTCAGTTTGAGGATTGTTAAAATTAATTAAGCTTGAGCTAAACTTGGAACTCGGTAATAAATTTTTTGCTATTATTTATATTATTTAAATATATAAACGATATATTCATCTTATTATTTAAATAAATTATAAACAAACCAATTTATATGAGTTTGAACTTGACTAGTTTATTAAATGAACTTAAAAGTTTAACTTAAGTTCATTTATTTATTTAACAATTGGGTTGAAAATGAGCTGATTCGAGCCGAATAACAGGTTGTTCAAGTTTAATTTATTTACATAACAAGTCGATTTTAAACGAGCTTTTAACTAGTTGAATACAAATCGAGCTAAAGTAACTTGATTTTTTATAGTACACATAAGCTTATTGAGCCGAGTAGTAGGTTGCTGAAACTTGACTTGAAAACTTAACAAGTTTAAAATTATATTCAAGTTTGGCTTATTTTCGTAACAAATCAATCTCGAATAAGTTTTAAACAAGCCAAGCACATGAGTGAAACTCGAGTAGCTTGGTTTGTTTAACACTCCTAATTAACAAATTGAGCCACCCTTACCAAGCCGAGCGGAGCTTATGAGCAATTCATTTGCAATGCTAGTGTAAATATATATATATATATTTTTTTTTTGATCGGCAAAGAAAAATCTTTATTGACAAAACATTCAAGGAATGAAGTTTACATCAATAAAGAGGAGCTTAGGCCTGAACAGACCCAAGCGCCAGTCAGTGAGAAACCAACAAATATAGAAGGAGAGGGAGAACAAAAACATATTAGAAAACCAAAACAGAGGTAAACAAATCAGCAACACAGCCACATGGACCCATGAAGACAGCCACATAAACAAATCAGCACTATAACACCACATCAGCCCCGCCAATCAGCAATCCCCAATTAAAACAATTAACTCCACACAGCCCAGTAAGAACAAAAACTGATAGTGTAAATATATGTTATTATTATTATTATTATTATTGATATAAAAAAAAAATAGAGAATTTATTGATGAAAATCAAATATATGTTATATGCATATATGTTGAATCATATATAGCTGTTGTTGGATATCAGGCAAGGACAAAGGCTCTAGGACTGAACAAAGACACAGCAGTGTGCTTGCAATTTGCAGTGGACACAAGGAACAAAATGGTTCCACCACTCCCAAAAGGTTTCAGTGGCAATGCCTATGTGCTTGCCTCTGTTGCTTCCACATTTAGAGAACTAGAAGAACAAAGCCATGAAACAGTAGCTGAGAAGATCAAGGAAGCAAAGAACTCAGTCACCGACGACTACATCAATGCGTATATCGAGGCACTCGAAGGAGGAGGAGGAGGACAGACTACTCTCCCTCCCTTGAAGGAGCTCACACTTGTTTCTGATTGGAGAAGAGTTCCATTTCACAAGATTGATTTTCTTGGTGGTTCTGAAGAAGATTATGAAGTTGGTATTGCAACCCCTTTGGTTCCTCCACTCCCACAGGTTGCTTACTTGATGGAGAATCCTCATGAAACTAGTGGCATTGATGTGAGGATTGGTTTGATCCCAACAATGCAAACTGTTTTCTCAAACTATTTTCTCAGGAATATTGTGTAATAGACTCAAATAATGCCATTTGAATTTCTCTCTTTTTAACACTGTTATTATGGGTTTTATGTTAGGTGGTATATGGGAATGTGGTTAATTAGATAATGATTTTCAATTATTAATATTATAATGAGATGTGTCAGTTAGCTTTCCCCTTCTTTTTTAAAATGCCATTATAGGAAAAAATAGGAAATGTTGGGGCAGAATGAGTAGTTTAAGAGGGGGTACAAATCCTTTGTCCCAAATTCCCTCCCTCGGTCCAAATGCATTCCTAAGTATAGAATTTTATTTCAAAATTTTTATGTCTCGAGATTTTTATACGATTCTATGATTCAGAATGTATTGAAACATTGAAACAGAAGAATAGATAATCATTCATCAATAATGATTAAGTGAACAACACTCATCATCCATCAAAACATCTCTCCATTTTTTATGGAGATAACCTTCCATTCACTAGACAACCTATTTTCAATTGGAACTTTTTTCAAATAAACTAAAAAGAAGGGGTTAGCAACATCATTAAGTCCTTAATGCATTGTGGGGCAATTACTTAGATATGAAGAAAAGGAATACTTTTGATATGCTTGAATCTAAAAATTAGTCAAGGAAAGGAGGTAGATAACCAAATCAAAAATGATTTTTTTGAAAAATACTAAATTCATTTTTTTCTTCTTCTTGTTTTTCATCCCAATGAAACAAAAGCAAGATATAGTCCCTCCCATTTTATTTCTTTTCGCTTTTCTTTACTTTTCCTTTTAACCAGTAGAAGTTCCAAACGTAGCCTTGTTTAAAGGATTTACTTGCTAATCACTATAACAAATAATAAATAAATAAGAAGCAGAAATAAATTAATAAATAATTGAACTACAAGGTCTCTTTTGTGAATTTTTAAAGAACCTAGATACAATAGGATGAGACTAATTACAATAGCCAGCAGAGTTGTTCTCAAAACCTAGATGCTCTAAGTTCACTTGGACTACAAGGTTTTTTTGGTTAATTTTTATGATCAAGTTCAAGCACAACAGGTTTTCTCATTAATTTGGTAGGTGAAAACAAGATTGACTTACTGAATATTAATGTATTGTGTAAAGCATGGTGGACTAATCCAATTCCTATGCACCTACAAGGAAGCACCCAAGAAACAAACTACTGATTAAGGCCTCGTTTGGAAACGTGCTATTTTAGTAACTTTTTGACTTTTTGGTTAAAATATGAGGTAAAAAAAATTAGTATGTTTGAGATGACTTTTTGACTTTTTACAAAAAAGATGTGTAAAAAGTAGAGAGAAAATAGAATTTTTGACTTTTTTGGTATACATTATTGATTTTTTAGTTTTTTTAGTAATTTTTTGAGTTTTAGGCAAAAACAGCCACTTGCCAAACGAGGCCTAAGTTATTCAGAATAATTTGACAAAATCAAGGATTGAATGATACTCCATTTTGATTTAAGATTTACTTAGCAAACAGACATTTATTAGGGAATGTTTACAAATTAATGTTTCTGTGGGGGCTGAATATTGGGAGTCGTAAAGATGCCGAATAGTCGAACTTGGAGTCGAAATATATAGCACTCGGTGCCGTCTCGCACGCTCGAATCCTATCACGTTCGGCCAAATAGCCGGTCGAGCAAGGGGCCGAGTAAAAAGCAGTTTGCTACGATTGAAGCCGAATGGCGAATTGAAAGTGGATCCAATCCCGAGGCCCAAGAAAGAAAAGATATAAATAGAAAAACATCAGCCATGAAGAGGTATGTGAGAATCATTACACTTTACTTAAAATACAAGTAATTCAGAGAGTAGAAACTGACTTGCCCGTCAGAGTGCTAATTCCGGCACCCCCGACCGGAGTGTTAATTCTTTTTTAGGTGACTACCTGAGGATCACTAGTGTCCCCCAGGATCTGAAGAGTATTTCCGAACCACTTATCCACAGTTTCCTTATCCGTCAAAATTTCCATGTACAAAGTGTTTTGTGATTATTTGAACTATAAATGAATTAAGCTACTTTAGCTTAACTTGTATTTGCTTGTTAAAAATTTGTTTAAAATCGATTCATTATGGCACCGTTTGGGAAGAAGTTGGTTGGGCTTTTTTGGCTATTTTAGCCACAAAAAACAAAATAGGTTATTTTAGCTATAACAAACAAAATATCACATCCAACCCATAATCATTACACTCTTCTCTCATAAAAAAAGTCAAAAAAGCTAAAATGCCAAAAAGCCCTTCCCAAACCAAGCTTTTTAGCCCAGGCTAAAATAGCCAAAAAAGCCAAAAAGGCAAAAACCCAACCCACTTCCCAAACGGAGGCTATATAAATAAGCTAAGCTTAAATACAATTTAAAAGTCATTAAATTTAGATTCAAAGGGAACAAACTACTAATCAGTTCGACTCAATTACATGCAGAAATCAAGTTATTAAAGTTCGACTCATGATTAGTATAATTAAACTCATTTGAAATCTACTCCAAAGGTAAACAAGTTGAACTTGAATGTATTTTCAAGCTTGTTAAGTTTTCAAGTTCAACTTAAACAACTTACTATTCAACTGAACTTAGTTCAATTATAGCCCTTAATCATGATAATTTGAGATCAGATCATTGGACAAATTAAAATAAAAATCAAGGAGAGGGAGAGAGAAGGGTCGAAAATAGTCAAGTTCTAGTAGTGAATTACATGAATTATCTCAAGAACTGGGACATGGCAAAATAACAATTATATACTATGAAAAACAAATGATAAAAGTAGGAGTACTATTAAATCAAACAAAAAAACCAAATCAATGGTCAAGCTAAAAAGAAAAGGAGTCATGAAAGAGATCAACAATGCCCCCAAGCATTTGAGGCTGCAAACAAATCAAAATCAAAAGTTACAAAAAACCAGTTAGTTGAAAGATTCTAAAACATAAAAAGCTTATTAATGATACTTTGTAGATGTCAAAGTCTAAGCAATATATAGTTAGATTTTAGATTTTGGTACCTTCTCTTGAGATGGTCCAGTCCTTGTCCTGGCCAAGAGCCCAAAAAAAGTATCCACCTAAGCTCCGGGCCAGTGCAAATCGGACCTTCAACTTCACGGATCCGACATCATCATATCCGACCCATGATCCACCAGCATAAGAATAGAAACAACTACTCTGTTTGTCAAACTTGACAGTTGCATTATTCTGTGTTAAAATCCAGAATTTGAGAATAAACCAATACCCCACCTCCGGGACCTGGCCCAACTGCAGGTGCTCTAATTCCATTCACTTTCGGGTCTTGGAGCGTCCATGTTCGACCATATAACAGTAGGCCCATGACTAGCTTTTTGGGCGGTACACCAACTTCGATCCATGATTGAATTCCAAAGGTAGTGCTAATTTTACTATTCGGGTCATCTAGGGCTGAATGCTCACCCGTGACCCGTTCCCATGACCCGTGGTAATCGAAGCACATTGGACTAACCCAATCCACATATTTACGTATAGTGTTTCCCGGGTAAGTTCGGGCCTTGCCCAATAAAGTGATCTTTGTAGCATAATAAACTGCTGAGGTCAAGAGGAGACGAGTTTTTTTAATGGCTTTTGCTTCCCTTTTTAGAGTCTTTCGCCATTGCTTGTAAAGTAAAGCAAGATGAAACATGTCAGTATGATTTTCTGGAAACTCCCAATCTAGGTCAACGCCATCAAACCCATATTTTCGAGCTACTTCAATAGTGGAATTAATGAAAATAGCACGGGTCGACTCGTTGCTAGCCATGTTAGAAAACACAATTGGGTCATTACCACCTCCTCCTATGGATAGTAGAGTTTTGATGGGTGGGTTCCGGGCTCGAAGCGCACCCATGAACTCTGGGAGCTTTTCTTGGTCAAATGTTGTAATATTGAGCTTGTAAGTGGCGGGTTCAGGTAAGAGGAAGGCATAGTAAATGTGGGTGAAGTACGATGTGTCGATGGAAGATGCAGGAAATCCATTACCCGATGGCCAATAAGCAGCTTTGATTCCCCGGGGCACAGGAAAGGGATAAAATGGATACGGGTTTGGTGACAAATAGCCTAGTGATTTAGGGGCCGGTATTGCTGGAGAGATTGAATCACAATCCATGATGGTTATACAAAAGAGTGCAAGAACGGTAAGTGATGTCAATTTTTTGATAGCCATGGATGGGATTGTGAGCTGTGAGAGTGCTATGACTTTGGTTCAATTTGACATTTACATGACACACACACACACATATGTAGAATGCATAATCTTTGGTTGCATCAACATTCTATGTTGTTTTTGGAGGGTTGTGTTCATGGTCTATTGGGTTTGGATTGAGCAGGACAGCATAGTTTCAATAGTTTCAAACTAATAAAAAAAAACATGTTCACTATCTGAAAATAAAAAATAAAAAATAAAAATTGTTAAATAATATATATATTTAAAAATCTAATCAAATAAAACGATAAACAAACTGCCTCTTGTTCAGAAAAGCTCTTTTAAATATAGCCAAGAGATACCATGGATTGAGCAGGACAGCATAGTTTCAGTAGTTTAAAACTAATAAAAAAAAAACATGTTCACTATCTAAAAATAAAAAATTGTTTAATAATATATATATTTAAAAATCTAATCAAATAAAACAATAAACAAACTGCCTCTTGTTCAGAAAAGCTCTTTTAAATATAGCCAAGAGATACCAAACAGTTTCTAGGTGTCACAGTACTTTGTTTTGGATGCTTCTCAAAAAAACCTTTGGATTCATAGTAAGCACAACTCATAATTTAGTCATTTTGTTTTGTTAGGTTTGTTTTCTCAAAGATTCAATTATTGCAATTGTTGTTGTTCAAAAAAAAAAAAACTTATTGCAATTGTAAAAGTTGAGACAGGAGTCAACTAAAGTGAAATTAATTTGTTGTGTATACAAAAACCATCTTTCAATCTAGAAAATGCCAAAGTTAATTGACAAAAAGTGGAAATGGTTCTTACAAGAAGTTTTATGTATTTTTGTTTTTATTTTTTTGGTCAAATACTACCATTCCCTGCATCCCTTTCTCCTATCTCCATCACCCTTAGCCCCTCTCTTCTCTTCTTGTGCTATTTGTAGAGGTAAGGCATACGGATTTGAAAGGTAAAAGATGTAGAGAGAAGGGGAAAAAAAGGAGATTGGGGATGATGGTATGTTTGAAAATATATGAATGTAAAGAGATAAAATGATAGTTTTAAATTTTTTAAAGGAAAACTTGGTAAAATCTCATAACTTGAGTTCTACATATCTATTTTTGACAAAAGAGATGTCTGTAGATTTGTCTTTTCGAGATATTTTAAATAAGATTAATATTGAATGTAAAATTAAAAAAATAATAATAATAAATTAATTTTTTAGTTCATCAATATAGCAAACCAATATTTTTTTAGAGTGTGAAACCGCTTTTGCCAATTTTGTATGGATAGATCTCAATAAATATATATATATATATATAGAATAAAAAAAATCATCCAAAATGGACTATTGAACCCAAACTTATGACTTATTGAAATTTTAACATCATAAACGATTTGAACATATAGTTAATTTACTTCCTGTATATATCTATTACTGGAAATTTGTGTTAATGTATATAATAAGATAGTGGCATGTATATAATATGATAGTGGTGTTGGTGGCAGATAGTGGCATGTATAGAATATGATAGTGGTGTTGGTGGCAGATAGTGGCATGTATATAATATGATAGTGGTAGATAGTGGTAATATATAATATGTAAGTGGCATATAGTGGGTTATAATGATGTTTGTAATATCTCCTATATAAGGAGTGTCATTTGGTCTTGTAAGATAAGAAGTTTTGAATATAACAGAAATATATTCCTTCTTCCTCATATTTTCGGAGTTCTTCTTGCTCATATTTTCTAAGTTGGTATCAGAGCAACAAAAAACACAGCAACCCTAAAACCGTCATAGCCATGTTGGAAGTCACGTCCAAAACCATTTCAACCCCTGCCGCTGCCATTCCGGTGAAAACGTCTAACTCTCACTCTGTCCAAATCACCACCATCCGCCTAAATGGTGATAATTTTCTCCGCTGGTCACAATCTGTCCTGATGTATATCCGTGGGCAAGGAAAGATCGGTTACATCACTGGTAACAAGAAGGCTCCTGCTGTTAATGATCCGCTGTTCGACAGTTGGGACGCTGAAAACTCCATGGTTATGACATGGTTGGTCAATTCCATGGAGGAGGATATAAGCTCTAATTACATGTGCTATACTACTGCACAAGAATTGTGGGATAATGTTAGTCAGATGTATTCTGACCTAGGAAATCAATCTCAATGTCAAAAAACAAAAGTTTATGGTAGATAGTGCAGGCTCCTCGAGAAAGCAAACAACAGGAGAGGACAATAAAAAATAGATTATGAAAGAAATCATGATTACAAATCTTCTGTTCTTTTCTCTCTGGTTTAACACCACCCCTTTTGGCTTTCCTTTGCTTAGTTACCAATCACTCATGGAAATCACTCACAACCTAGTTGCTAATGGTCAAAAGTATCGACTCAGAGCCATGAAATACACCCTTTCATTTTGTCTTTCCCTGCTTCACTACAAACCCAGAAAGCTTTCTCTGTCTTCAATTTAATTTTGTTCATACAATCTAGTGGGCTGAGTAAGGTTGGCATAAAATAACTCATCAAAAATGCATGCACAAATAAACATCGGTGAAACAGTGAGTAAAATGCTAAACCAATACAAGACTTAATTCTTTTTTTTCCACCTTGATGGTTTTTCCATGAAATCAAACCCAAAAAAATCATCAACACCAAGAGCCTTTAGTTGCAAAATGATATTTGAAAGGTTGCACCGTGTAATCTCTGGAATTGTAGAATCCCTGAGTTTCTCAAATTCAATCTCAGGGTAGAGGCAAAAGCACTTGCCTGGTCTTTCACGGCCTACACGTCCACTGAAATAAAGTAGCAGGCATGAGATTAAAATTCGTTTATATTCAGTCAATGAAAAATGTAAACAAATATACAGGAGGAATATTGGGTAAATACAACAAAATCCACATCATTTGGCCTGTTTATATGATGAAGTTCGTAAACCTAGGCGTACTCTCCCCCACCCACCCACTCCATGAAAAAGATAGCTCCGAACATAAGTAGATCTCTTTTTTAAGGAGGACAATTTATTCAAAATAGTAAATGAAATCACTAAAATATAACATGGATTTTTCTGTGCTTTAGTAATCCAGTATGCCTACCTCCTTCGCAAAGCCTGTGCTTTTGAGGTTGGAACAAAAATCAATGATTTCATCCCTATACGAGCATGGTAGGTGCGTGCTTTCACCAATACAGGATCTATCACATACTTGATTCCAGGTATTGTTACGGATGTTTCAACAATATTAGTTGCTAGTATTACCTAAACAGAACAAGCAAGCATATTCACTAGTGCTAGACATAGATACCAGAAATTGTTAGAATAGTGCATCACACAAGGAAATGATCATCCAACATGCAAGTATAGCTCACACTTCATACCATTTCCAATAGTCATGTAAGACAAACAACAAAAAACAAAAGTGATCAAAGAAATAAACACCACAAAATTTAACTGGCCTATCAGAATATATTTCAACTTAAAAATCGATCATACAAATGAACCAGATGATTCAAAAGCATCTTAAAATACATGACACAATCACCAGGGACATCCTCAACCAAAAGGCAGAGGTTGATTCAGTACATACACCATGGCATCCTTTTAGAAGGAAAAAAAGATAAGTCTAGCAGACTGTCCAACCAATATGCATGACACACTTGGGAAGTCACAAAAATTCAAGAGAACCATGTTTTAGATTCTCATCCAATGCATTGCCTGTTCTTTTTGACACCCTTGTATGGTTCCAAGAGCATCAAGTAACAAGAGGAGTGAACTTGGTTGCAAGCACTCACCAAAATCATAAGCCGGTACCAAATTTTGGAGTACTTAACATGCAACTGCTAATTAAGGGTTTCGATTCTTTTGATCTTCACATAATTTAATTTTGTGCAATCATTAAAATAGAAAATTCCTACATCTCATTGTTATTTCATTAACTATGCTTATATACATAGGCTTCAATTCAGACCAGCATAGTCACCATGATATACAAAAATTCAATTATATGACTATTAATAATATGTCAGTTCGAACTAGTTTTTGTAGAATTTCTTTTGACAAGTGGACCTCAGCCCAATATAACCTCATTATTTGTAGACTCTGTTTCAACCAGGGAGATCAAACCCAGGAACAAACATTATAGCCCAAGCAAAATGCCATATTAGACAGCCTTTAAGAGAGAGTCATTACTTGTTTTTTCTTCTAAGTCAAATTAAAAAATTCTAAGTCAACGATCATAAATATCTGAAGGCATCCAGCTAATACCCTACCTAATAGAAATCCAATATGCATCAACAATCTACCTTGCGAAATCCGGTTAGAGGTGGCATGAACACCTGTATCTGCTTTTCTGATGGAAGAGATGAGAATATGGGTAAAACTTTTAGCTTCTGGTTGTCTCCTAGAAACTGTCGAAGACTTTCTTGGACAAGCTTCTCAACATATTCAATCTCTTCTTGGCCAGTCAGGAATACAAGTATATCACTCGGACCCTCCTCCAAATGTATCTACAAGGTGAGAAAATGAGCTAATGAAGCTGTAAAAATGAATGTAAACGAGGACAACCAGACAAATGTCTAATAAGTAAGTAACAACTAGTGAACAATTACAGACCCAAATTGATCTAGGTATTAAAGATGGATATGTTAAGGCCTTTGAGAAGTACTTGAGAAAGGAACAGTAAAACTTGATTCCACCATAACAAAAAGAAACAAGAGATATTGGAAACCAAACAGCAAGTTACCAGGTGGGAATATTGTTAGATTAACTATGACCACACCATAATGTGGTGTGTCTCTACATACTTGATTAAAACCCAATGGCTGGTGTATTCCTTCCAGCAAGGAAATGGAACAATCTGGTAAGTTAAGTATTTGAATTTGAAGACAATGGACACATTGTTTCATGACAATTGTGGCTGTTAGTTTTTGTATCCAAAGGTTGTGACTTTTGGGAATGGTTGTCATTATGTTTATAAAAGCAATGGCAGGATGTGTTCTTTATATACAAGTTTTTAGAACCATTGAATAACCTTTGCTTCCGGATTGTTGATTCCATCTTGCGTGATAAATACCCTCACGGGAATTCCGATCATTTAGCCATTGTTAAGTTAAACTTACAAATATCCTAAACAGCCTTTACAGAAATCATATACACACCCCGGGAAAAAAAACAGAAACTAAAACAAAATCCCCTGTAGCCCAAACTTCAACTTGACAAAAGAAGAGACTCAAGCAATCTAAAAGTGAGTTCCAATTAAGTTGTAAAAAAAATACTGGGATAAGGTTGGAATCATGAGAACCCAACAGAGGCTTAATTAACAACCTGAAATATAGTTATTAAAGCTACATCAATGCAATCTATCTCGGGATGATAAGTGTAGAGTATATCCACAGGAAACTGTCGCCCTTGTACATGCCTGAGAAACCCAATGTTACTACAAATCCTCTCCCCACACATAACCAAGCTCCACCACCCAAAAGAATCAATTTCATCCACACTGGGGTCGTGTCCTACGATCCTAGTATCTATATCACACCCTCCTACTTGCCTAAGTCGGAGGTTTTCCTTCCTGATTGCACCGATTTGTGCATGATGGACGTCTCCATAACCCAACCCAAGCCAGTGGTGGTGACCATCGAGAGCAGGAGAGAGAAGACTCCAAAGGAGAAGGAGGTTGTCGAGCTAGAGTCTGCGGAGTCTGGGAGTGATGTTGGGAATGCTTATAGTCCGAGTGACTACATTTCACTAATGGGCCAGAATAGACCAGATGTGGAATTTCCAGCAGGAGGAGAGCTGTGTGCAATCCAAGGGGATAGTCCAGGACAGGGAACAGATGATTTGACAGCTGTGGAAAAGGATCTTGCCAAGTTCCAGTTTTAAAGTAACCAAGATCCAGAAGACTCAGCCGTCAACTGGTTCGATTATGAGGAATCGACAGAGGCCACGGGATGGTTGGACGATCAGCCAGATGTGGTAGGAGAGTTTCAGTCAAAACAAGGCCCGGCAGGGGCAAGAATGTTAGTAACAGCCGGGAGGGTCGAAGAACAGAGTACATCGCTGGAGAGCGCCGGTGTCAAGAGTTTCGCTCGGGATTGGAGCATTTTGAGTACAGGGATTATTGAACAGTCTACTGCATTGACACAGTCTGAACGGGAAAGATTCGAAGATTCCGAGAGAATCAAGAAGGCAAAAGCCCATGTGGGGGTTGAGACCGCCGCAAGTACAGAAATGGAGAATGCCGCGAGCATAAGAATAGAAGGTACTGCAAGTATCGGAACAGTCATGCCAAAACCGGACAGGTGCCTGTCAGCTGCAAATGGCATGTGGTGGGAAGACGATGATCTATGTCTTGCCCACACGGATGAGGATTGGGGAGGTAACCAACCAGATGATACCTGGTATATCGGCGAAGTCGATCACATGACTAGGAGTGGACGGTACTTCAAGCCTCCACACCTAGATCAACCAAAAGAAAGCCGAAAAGGCGAGGAGGCAGAGAAGCAAAAGGAAAAGCAACTCGAAGACGAGGCCGTATTGA